CGTTTTGCGGTGCTGCAAATGCTTGCATTTGATGCGGTATTTGGATTGTTTTGCCACGGGTTCCCGGCATGCAATGCGCGAAAGTCACGTGGTCTGTCAATCTCTATACCTACTGGCCCTGCAGTCACTCCAGCTGGAGGCTCAGGCGAGCCAGCACTCTGCGGCTCCCGTGCCCGAGGGGGGGGGGGTCCGAGGGACCGCTGTCTGCTGTCTCCGGTGGAGGGTCCGAGGGATCTGTCCAGCCTGCAGTGCCACCACCTGCGGTTTTCACACCGTCGCCTGCAATGCCACCACCTGCGGTTTTCACACAGTCACCCGCAACATCACCATCTGCAGCTGCCACGCTGCCATCTGGTCCCGCAGCTGCCACGCTGCCGTCTGGTTTGACGTCAGCGGCCACCTTCCAGGTCGCTGACTCGACTTCGTTACTGGTGCAGTCAGCCTCCTGAACTGCGTCGCCGCCGCCTTCCGCACGGCCGGCCTCCAGAACGGTTTCCACGTTGCCGCCATTGCCGTCTGCACAGTCGGCCTCCAGAACTGAGCTGTGTTAGACTGTTGTGCCACCAGCCTCTGGGTCGACCCCCTGAACTATCTATGAACGGTTGCCTGAGCTCCTGTGTTCCTTGTGGACTTATTGTTTTGGATTCTTGGTGCTCCAGTTTTGGTTTTGTTCTGACTTGTTTTCCCAGTCTAGTTTAGTTCTGCATCATTTCCCTGAGTCTGTTAATAAAGCTGCATTTTTCTGAGTTCATTCATGTGTGTTGCGAGTCCTGTATTTTGGGTCCTCTTCCTGCCTGCACACAGCCGAATTGTGACACTTGGTTTCTATATTCTTTTCGTCTTTATCTGGGTTTTTAGAATTGTTCTTACCCTGGCCCTTCACTCATGACAAATTTCCTTGGGAAACAAAATCAAAGTAAAATTGCTCCCAGCAACACAACTTTTTTTTTTCTCATGATGTTCTATGGCTCCGTTCCTCTTCACCATCTACACTGCAGACTTCTCCCACATCTCTACCCAGTGCTTTCTGCAGAAGTTCTCTGATGACGCTGCAATAGTCGGCCTCATCACTGATGGGGATGACAAGGAGTACAGAGGACTGACCCAAGACTTTGTGGACTGGTGCCAGCTGAACTACCTCTAGATCAACACCAGTAAAACCAAGGAGCTGGTGGTAGACTTTCGCAGGCACAAACATCCTCCACTGCAACCACTGAACATCCAAGGTATGGACATTGAGGCTGTGGACAGTTACATGTACCTTGGTGTTCATCTGAACAACAAACTGCACTGGATTCATAATTTAGAAGCCTACTACAGGACAGGGCAAAGCAGACTGTACCTGCTGCGGAGACTCAGGTCGTTTGGAGTAGAGGGCCCACTCCTGAAAACCTTCTATGACTCTGTGGTGGCCTCAGCTATCTTTTACCGTGTGGTCTGCTGTGGTGGCAACATATCTGCCGGGGACAGGAAGAGCCTGAACAGGCTGTTCCGCAGGGTCAGCTCGATTCTAGGATGCCCTCTGGACCCAGTGGAGGTGGTGAGTGACAGGAGAATGGTGGCTAAGCTGTCATCCCTGATGGACAACATCTCCCACCCCATGCAGGAGACTCTGACAGCACTGAGCAGCTCCTTCAGTGGTAGGCTGCGGCACCCACGGTGTGGGACGGAGAGATTTCGCAGGTCTTTCCTCCCCACTGCTGTCAGACTCCACAACAAAGACTCCAACTGATCAAACACACACATCCACACATGTGCAATAACTCTAAGTGCAGTACTCTTTTTCTGACAAAGTTGTATTTTTACTCAGTTGTATAAAGCATTTGTATTCTATTTTTTTATCCTACTGTATATTTTATTCTACTGTTTATAGTATTTTATTCTATTCTGTACAGTTGGGTACAGTATTTTATTCTTATTGTATTATAATTTTTGCTATATAACTTTGCACTGTCCACTTCCTGCTGTGACAAAACAAATTTGTGGGACTAAAGGTTTTCTTATCTTATAGTCTGATGTTGTAGTCTTCACACTTCTTTTCTAGTCTGCTTAAGGCCTCAGTCACACTTGAGTTAAAATAGGACAGCAACCTCCATTCAAGGACAACTGGTGGTTGGGGGGGGGGGGGATTGCATTTGCTGTCTGGGACCGATTGCATGTTTTCTGCACACTACATTAAAAACCCAAAGGAATGCAAGCATTTGCCCACATGGGACAGTAATGTTATCTATCTTAGTAAGAAAAGACTTTCTCTTTCCAACCAAACAATACCTAATTGTACTGTGATTAACATTAACATTTAGCATGCTGACTGAAGTCTCAGATGTACAGTGGGGCAAAAAAGTATTTAGTCAGCCACCGATTGTGCAAGTTCCCCCACCTAAAATGATGACAGAGGTCAGTAATTTGCACCAGAGGTACACTTCAACTGTGAGAGACAGAATGTGAAAAAAAACAAAATCCATGAATCCACATGGTAGGATTTGTAAAGAATTTATTCGTAAATCAGGGTGGAAAATAAGTATTTGCTCAATAACAAAAATACAACTCAATACCTTGTAACATAACCTTTGTTGGCAATAACAGAGGTCAAACGTTTACTATAGGTCTTTACCAGGTTTGCACACACAGTAGCTGGTACTTTGGCCCATTCCTCCATGCAGATCTTCTCGAGAGCAGTGATGTTTTGGGGCTGTCGCCAAGCAACACGGACTTTCAACTCCCGCCACAGATTTTCTATGGGGTTGAGGTCTGGAGACTGGCTAGGCCACTCCAGGACTTTCAAATGCTTCTTACGGAGCCACTCCTTTGTTGCCCGGGCGGTGTGTTTTGGATCATTGTCATATTGGAAGACCCAGCCTCGTTTCATCTTCAAAGTTCTCACTGATGGAAGGAGGTTTTGGCTCAAAATCTCATGAAACATGGCCTCATTCATTCTGTCCTTAACACGGATCAGTCGTCCTGTCCCCTTGGCAGAAAAACAGCCCCATAGCATGATGTTTCCACCCCCATGCTTCACAGTAGGTATGGTGTTCTTGGGATGCAACTCAGTATTCTTCTTCCTCCAAACACGACGAGTTGAGTTTATACCAAAAAGTTCTACTTTAGTTTCATCTGACCACATGACATTCTCCCAATCCTCTGCTGTATCATCCATGTGCTCTCTGGCAAACTTCAGACGGGCCTGGACATGCACTGGCTTCAGCAGCGGAACACGTCTGGCACTGCGGGATTTGGTTCCCTGCCGTTGTAGTGTGTTACTGATGGTGACCTTTGTTACTTTGGTCCCAGCTCTCTGCAGGTCATTCACCAGGTCCCCCCGTGTGGTTCTGGGATCTTTGCTCACCGTTCTCATGATCATTTTGACCCCACGGGATGAGATCTTGCGTGGAGCCCCAGATCGAGGGAGATTATCAGTGGTCTTGTATGTCTTCCATTTTCTGAAGATTGCTCCCACACTTGATTTTTTTTCACTGCGGACAGGTGTCTTTTATACAGATGATGAGTTCAAACAGGTGCCATTCATGCAGGTAACGAGTGGGGGACAGAAAAGCTTCTTACAGAAGACGTTACAGGTCTGTGAGAGCCAGAGATTTTCCTTGTTTGAGGTGACCAAATACTTATTTTCCACCCTGATTTACGAATAAATTCTTTACAAATCCTACCATGTGAATTCATGGATTTGTTTTCACATTCTGTCTCTCACAGTTGAAGTGTACCTCTGGTGCAAATTACTGACCTCTGTCATCATTTTAAGTGGGGGAACTTGCACAATCGGTGGCTGACTAAATACTTTTTTGCCCCACTGTAGTTCTTGGGCTTTTTGCAATTTCTCTGTCCTGGAACAATCTTTCTGAACACCTGAGATCAGCTAAAACCGAATAAATACACCTAAACATAGTTATACATCTGAGTAAATTATTTTCTGCTAACCTCTTCATAGGTCTTCTCTCTGTTAATATCATATTTTCACTCTTAATATGTTCATTTTACCAGAGTTCACAGGGATACTCTGTAACCCTGAGTGTTTGCATTTTTGAGTGTTTGCACTCTTTAATAGTGCTAAAAAGCTGAATCCATGGGTAACGAAAAAGACAAGTTATAATTTTTGACCCAGCACAGGGTTTAAAATGCTATTATTTGTAATAGCTTACCAATAAAGCAAGTCTAAAACCTCTTTTAACATTTTTTTTATTTTAATTTCTAGTGGATTGCAGAGACATTATAAGAATGAGGAACTGCAAAGTGATCATGAAAAGTAAGAGGAAATGAACAACATTCAAATACGACTAGAGATGGCTATTAAAGGAACAAAGCTTGTCACTGACGAGGTGTCGGTTTCATACATATGTATGTGCATACAAATGCATAACTATTTAAAGTCAATACACATGCGAACATGCTAAAACACTGAAGCTGTGCGAATACATATTTAAAAGCAAACTTCAATATTTCAGTAGATGAGGGTTGAAAGTTTGGCAAAGTGCTGTATAAAGCACCAAAACACAAACAACAACAACAACACTAATGATAATAGTTAATAGAAGGTAAGAATACACCACTCTTATTCTGCAACAAGAGGATAGTAAAGCAAGATCTGAAGTAGTCACAATTGTTGTAATGAAGACTGAGGGATTACTCATTAGATTTTAATTTGTAGGTTGAAGCCTAAACTTGTTGCTGTTACTTTACTATGACTTTTATTTTTACTACCTACCTATAATACAATGAATACAAACATAACAGTATTGCACAAACGTAATTACAGAAATTTTTGTTAAACCACACATGTGCTCTTTATCTGAAATAGTAATAATAATTATGTCAAGAGGACTCGCCCTAATTAAAAACAATAGCTTGATAGAAAAGAAAAAGCAGACAGAAATCAGAGCTATACCGCAGGGAGACAGAAAATGGGGGAGGTGTGAAAATATGAATTTGAAAGAGCGAGTTGAGACGAGAACAGGAAGAAAGAAAAAAAACTGTCTAGGAAATGACAATACAAAGGCAGAAGTGCAAATGCTTGCTGCTAAAAAAGTCACAGAGCGAGAGAGCAACTCAAATGTGCAATCAGGGATGACAGTAGGTTCTACAGACGCGATTCATTTTGAAGTGAAGAAATATTGTTAAAAAACAAGTGAAACGCTGGATATTGACCAAAGCTGAAATATGGGGTGAGTCATTTTCTTACATTAGTTATATTAATAATTTTTTTTAAACTGAGGGAAGAAACATATGTTCATTCCAATTTTGAATGACTCGTGTAAGAATGTGTAAAACAACACCGACTCTCATAGTGCTCTCTATATTTTACCGAAAAGATATTTAGTTCTGACTACGTTTCCTGTTGTCTGCAAGTGTCTGAAGCTTATAACAGGTGCTTCAATTATTATAGTTATTGCGCATAGACTAAACATGTATCTGCATTTCCTTTTTTATGATAATGTTATTTAATCCAAGAAAGCATTCTGGGGAACCAAAACCTTTTGAGAACTTGGTGCATATGACAGGTGAAATACAGTCCATATTAGGCATTGTACTGATCACAGGAAGTGGTCAAAACATGAAAACCTTTGTGACAGGAAGTAAAGCTTTCCCACAGGCTACAGACATTGCAAGTAGCAGACTGAAAACAAGTCAGTGTCATAATGACTTGTAGAGACATGTAGTCTTTTTATTATTTCATTAATTTTTGCATACAAACATTCAAACCACACAGGATAAATACATAAAGGTATAAATGTATAATTGTTTTAATGAAATAATCATCAAAAATACAAACACATATTTGCCCCATTACTTTACAGTGTACAAATTTAGGGTTCTGAACCTCTGTAAAGCTATGAAGCATTACTTACTTTTCAAATGTGCTAAACAGATTGACTAACTAGAGGAATTAATTTGATTTTATATACAAAATTTGAACAGTTTAGAAATAGAAAAGAAAGTCCACCCTGTATGTATTTTATAGAACTTGAAAAGTTCTATGTGTCAGGACATAATAAATAAAAAGTATATAAAAGAATATGATTATTTTTTTTAAAAAAAGGTCCTTGCTAGGTTCTAAAATAATTTTAATATAATCTGGATGTGGAGTTATATAGGTCATATCACACAATTATAACATATTTATTTAACAAAAACCCAAATTTAGTGTGTTTGTGCTTATATAGTATGTTTGGGATTTGCCAAATAATGCATGGTTCAGTTCCCAAATAGCCAAACTCTAGTGTGGTCTGTCTGGAAAACATTGTTCCAGAAAGCTTGTGGTTTATTCCGATAAAACTTTGGAAATATTAAATGTTCTTTAGCAAGAAGAAACTGTCTCCTGGCAACTCTTCCAAACAAGCAACAATGGTCTTTTTCAGCCTTTTTATGGATAGAAACAGTGAAGAGACAATAAAAACAATAAAAGTGGTGACAATAAAAGTGATTTGATTTGATTTGATTTGATTTGATTTGAAGAGTGACAGGAAAGCAGCGGGAGAGACAGAGGAAGAAATGAGGCAAAGGGCCGCAGGTTGTGTTAAAACCCGCACCGGCCGCTCCCAGCCATACGGCATGTGGTCACCTGCTCATCCCAGTGAGCTAAACCAGCACCCAGTCGGTCCATGCTTCAAGCTTGGGTCCTCTACCAGGAATCCTGGGAGCTTGAGGGTCCTCAAAAGTATCTTTGCTGTTCCTAGGACTGTGGTCTTGTGGACAGAGATCTCAGATGTCATTCCTGGGATCTGCTGGAGCCACTTGCCCAGTTTGGGGGTCAGTACCCCGAGGCACCATTGCTGCCTTCACCTTCACATCACCTCATGCTCCTCTCCTAGCCCTTGGTATTTCTTGAGCTTCTCGTGTTCCTTATTCCCAATGTTGCCATCTTCTTCTGTTTGTCCACTAAGCCAGGGCTGACTTGGCATAGATGTTTCTGTATACTGTTCCAGCCACTTGATTATAGCGTTCCGTGTATCCCCTGCCTGCTAGCATCTTACACCTTTCTGTTACGTGCTGGATCCCAGCCTCTATTGATCGTGTGACTTAGACTTCTCTGCATTTAATCATACTTGTTATTAATATCTGGCTCTCTTCTACAGCATGTCACTTGTCCTGTCTTCTTTCTCTCACCCGAAATGGTCACAGTATATGGCCACCCCTCCCTTAGCCTGGCTCTGAAGGAGGTTTCTTTTTGTTGAAAGGGAGTCTTTCCTTCTCACGGTCACCAAAGTGCTTGCTCATTGGGGGTCACATGATTGTTAGGTTTTTATCTGTATGCACTATTGTAGGGTCTAACTTACAATATAAAGCACCTTGAGGTGACTGCTGTTGTGATTTGATGCTGTATAAATAAAATTGAATTCAAGTCAATTGAACTGAATTGTGCTTAAAGTTTGTTCCCATACTGACATAATTAGTGCCTCTGTGGTGTCTTTTAGTCATTGTCCTGTCATTGGGAAGATTTTTCAATAACAGGTGCCTATCCTTCCATTGTGGTCCCTCCTCTAGCACTTCTTGTGTCTCGGGTTTCTGGTGCACTAAGCACGCGATCATTATAGCCAGCTTCTTGATGTACTTATGGATCTTTGTTGTTTCATCCAGAATAATGGTTCTGATACTTACTACTACTCGGCGTCCTTTCTTCCACTTAGCGTACAATCTGAGGATGCTGGACTGGTGATACCCTCTAAGCATGATAAGGAGCATTATTGTCTTGACTCAGTGGATTTTATCTCATCCTTTATTTAGTGGCGCTTATTATCTCAACAGGGCACTGATGTTGCATATACCTACAAACATTTGTGAAAGAATGGGTTGGTCTAAGGGGCTCAGTGAATTCCAACATGGTACTGTTCAGAGCACTATGTTGGAGTACCAAGCAGAGTTGAGATTCTGAGGCCACAAAAGTGGAAGCCTTCTGCCACCTGGCTACTTCTAGAAATTCTGTACATAAAAATTATTAACAGAATTGGTGAAAAGGGGTAGCCCTGGCGAAGACACGCACCAGGAATGAGTCTGTCAATGTCTGTTGGCAATGCAGACATTGCTCCTGCAACAGTTGTACAGAGACTGAATGGCAACGCCTGAAGCACCCCCCAGTAGGACACTCCAAAGGACACAGTCGAATGCCTTCTCCAAGTTCCCCATACACATGTAGATGAATTGGACACACTCAAATATTCTTCCAAGGATAAAGAGCTAGTCCAGTGTTCCATGAACAGGATCTGCATAGGTTTGACTAATGGACAAACTCTTTTTCAGCAACCTGGCATACATCTTCTCAGGGAGGCTCGTATTCATAAAAAAGCATTTTGTAAATTATTTATCATAACCTTGGTTTTACTTGGCCTATTAACACAATTTAAAAACTAACCTATAGTTTATACACACTCTTAAAACAAACAAAAAAAGAAATAGACTCCACATGGCTGCATATTACTGCTATGTCATCTTAAATCAGTCATGTGATTTGGACACGCTCATCAACTCCAGGGGATTAATGACCTCAGTGACCTTGTTTTCAGCGATGGGAAAGTTGTCTCCCTCGTCCCTAGAGTCTGCTTTCTCTACAGAAGTCGAGAAGGAGGTATTCTTTCCGCTACCCGATTATATCCTCTGTTTTTGCTTCAGCTACCGCCCGAGACATGTTCTGCTTGGCATGCTAGTACCCATCAGCTGCCTCAAAAGTTCCAAAGGTTAACTAAACCTGATAGGACTCCTCATCTCTGGTGTCCACTAGGGATGGGTACCGGTATCCGGTGCCATTATGACATAAACGGTAGTAACCAGACCGAAAAGCAGCGCACATTTCGGTGCTTTATTTCGGTGCTTTTTTTTCCCTGAGATGTCATACACTTTGGATTCCAGCCAATCATTTTACCTTTGCAAGCGCAGTAGGTACGTACGTACGTATGTTCTTTTAGAGCAGAGCTACAGATTAAAAACGCCCAAGGCGAAGCGGTCAAAAGTCTGGCTGTACTTCACAGCAAAAGATGCAAACTCAACAGCCTGCAACAAGTGCTTTAAGGTGATACTAAGGTGATGCAAAGGAGGTAACACCTCGAATCTGATGAAAAACCTGGCGACGCATAGCATTTTTTTAAAAGCCGTATTTGATAGCTTGCTGCGAGACCTCACATCGAGCACATCTACTGCAGGTGTGGTGCCTGTTATCGGTCCCGGAGTTAGCAACATCCCCCAAAAACCCGAAGAGGAGAGTCCTGGCCCCTAGCCCTGCCAGTGTAGCAGAAATGATGACGGATGATGATGGCAGCAAGCAGCCATTCTTCTCTGGGTCAGTAGCTTAATGTTGTTCGTGTGTTATTTACGTTGAGTAGGCTAACCACGTTATTAAATTAATGCACGTAAGGTGAACTAGCAAACACCATCGTAGTTACATGCGGCTGTCTTCTTGTTTGTTGGAGTTTCTCCCTTCACCCTGGCCAAAAAAGCTAAAATGACCAAAGAAAAAGTTGGAAACAGCTAAACATGAGAGGTTTTTGGACAAAGTTGGTGTTTTTTTTCCCCCATTGATTAAGCACTGCTTCCAGCCAAGAGTGATACCATAAATCCCCTATAGCTGCAGAAAAGGCTAACATTGTTGTCTTTTTTACAAAAAAAACAGCTAAACATGAGAGGTTTTAGGACAAAGTTTGTGTTCTTCATTCTTTAAGCACCAGTTTGAGCACCGTTTAAGCACGGGCACCGTTTCAAAAGTACCGGTTTGGTACTGGTATCGGATAAAACCTAAACGATACCCATCCCTAGTGTCTACCATCTGGTTCATCTGGTTACTGCCATAACAGGGGCCAACCACCTTGCAGCATCTACTTGCAGCTGCCTCAGCAGTCTAGGTGCAGATTCTTTCTCCAGCCACAGAATGCTGTTGTATTTCTGCCGGAGGTGAGAGTTGAAGATCTCCTGGATCAGGGGCCACCCTCACTGTATGTTTAGGTGTGGCACATGTGTCAGGCATCCTCTTACCACCTGATTTAATTAACCACCACAATTGTATAGCGCTTTTCTAGTCCTTAAGGACCCCAAAGCTTTACACTACATTCAGTCATTCATCACACACATTCACACTCTGGTGATAGCAAGCTACATTGTAGCCACAGCTGCCCTGGGGCGCACTGACAGAGGCGAGGCTGCCGGACACAGGCGCCACCGGGCCCTCTGACCACCAGTAGGCAAACATGGGGTTAGTATCTTGCCCAAGGATATTTGGCATGCAGCCAGGAGGCAGCCTGGGATCGAACCACCGACCTTCTGATTAGTGGCTGACCTGCTCTCGAACCACCGACCTTCTGATTAGTGGCTGACCTGCTCTGCCACCTGAGCTACAGCCACCCATAAGGTGGTTGACAGCTCAGCTTCTCTCTTCATCCAAGTGTCCAGATCAAAGGTCGTAGATCAGATGATATGATTACAATATTGATTGCTGATCTGTGACCTAGGATGTCCTGGTGCCACTTACACTTATGGATACCCTTAACATGGTGTTGGTCATGGACAAACTGTGGTTTGCACAAAACTCCAATGATGAAACACTACTCAGGTTCAGATCAGGCAGATAGTTCCTTGAAGTACTCAATGACCATAAGAAGGCTGGGTACTCTGAACTGTTGCTTGGCGTGTAACTCCCTCCACCATGGGTTACACGAGTCCAGTCATAAAATTTCCTCATTAATAAAGTTAACTCTTAGTGGAATTACAAACAAATTGGAAGCGATTGGGAACAACAGCAATTTAGCCATGAAGTGGTAGGCTGCATAAAGTCATAGTGAGGGATCTCAAACTTTCTGCGATTTCATCGCTACACACCTCCGAACTTCATGTGACCTTCAGATTAGCTCAAGAATAGTGTGTTTCATTTAATGGGTTCATTTAATGCTTCATTTACTGGGTTTCCTTGGTAGAGCAACTGCATCCAAGCCTTACATCACCAAGCGTAATGCAGAGCATTGGATGCATCACCAACACTCTATAGATGTCGAAACACGTTCTGTGGAGTGACAAATCATGCTTTTCCATCAGCAATCCAATGGATGAGTCTGGGTTTGGCAGTTGCCAGGACAGTAATACTTGTCTGACTGCATTGTGCCAAGTGTAAAGTTTGGTGCAGGGGTATTATGATGTGGCCTTGCTTTTCTGGAGCTCAGCCTGGGCTTCTAGCTCCAGTGAAAGGAACTCTTAAAACTTCAGCATTCCAAGATATCCATAAAGACATTGATGAGCAAGTTTGGTGTGGAAGAACATGACTGACCTGCACCTGAGCCCTACCTCAACCCAACTGAACACAAATGCACTTCTGAAAGAATTATCAAAATTTCCTGTAAACTCACTCCTAAATCTTATGGAAAGCCTTCCCGGAAGAGTTCGTGTTATAGAAGAATGTTCATGTTTCTTTTATCTGTACACTTACACCATTTTAGTATTTTGTTCTTGCACTGCATCTGGTCATCTTTTTTTTTCCTAATCATTCCCTCAAACAGTGAGTCCAGTATCTGTCAGGTGAGGGCAACAGTCATGCTGTATGATGACAACAGCAAGCGCTGGGTTCCAGCAGGATCTGAAAGTACATCTATAAGCCGTGTCCAGATCTATCACAACCCTTCAGCAAACACCTTCAGAGTAGTGGGACGCAAACTGCAGGCTGACCAGCAGGTACAAGAAAAGCATACACACGAAACCAGACAATTGCCTTCTCATGTTCTGATTGGACAGACACTAACACACACACACACA